AGGGTGGCTGCTGGACGGACGCCTGGAGAGGCTGCTGGAGCCAGTGCAGGAGCCAGGAGCGGGGCCAGGGCAGACTCGAGAGTGAAAGAGAAGGGGAGGGATGGAGGAGGAAGCTCCAGGAACCAAATGCCTGGGGCTCCTGGCCAGGGCCCTCCTGCCACCGCCCCTCCCCTGCATTGCCTGCCCCTCCACCCAGACCCTCTCTTCCCTCCTCCTCCTCCTCTCCAGGTCCTTCTCAATTCTGTTTACCATGCAGAAAAGTGCTTCCTATCTTGGTTCCGCGACATGCTGTCCCCTGACCAGGACTACCAGGTCACCTGGTACGCATCCTGGAGTCCCTGTGCCAACTGTGCAGATCTGGTGGCTGACTTTCTGGCCAGGCACACGAACGTGAGACTGACCGTATTCGCTGCCCGCCTCTATTATGGCTGGGCCGCATGTTACCGGCAGGGGCTTCGCAGGATGAAGCAGGAAGGGGCCCAGGTGTGCATCATGTATAATGAAGGTGAGAAGTGGGGTCAGGGGTGCGGTTGCCGGTGGGACTCCATGGCAAACTCATGGGTCTGGGAGCCAGCACAGGTGAGGGTCGCAGAGAAGCCTGGCTAGGCCTGAGCCAGCCGGACCCCCATTGGAAGTCCTGGGAGGAGATGGTCTGATCAGGCAGGGGAGAGAGGCCTGCCGGGCCCTGACTGCTTTCTCCCTCTTTGATCTCAGAATTTGAACACTGTTGGGACAACTTCGTGTATAACCACGGGGAGCCTTGGGTACTGTGTTGGGACAGACTGGATGAAAATTATCAGTTCCTGGTCACCAAACTGGAAGAGATCCTCAGGTGAGAGGCTTCCCCCAGACAAGCTGCCTGTCTCCCTGGCCTCTGCGCTTCCCCTCCGGCCTTCCCTCGGTCCCTGCTCAAATCCACTGCAGCCCGGCCTCCTGTCCTCCTCCTGTCCTCAGGCTGGGCGCCCCTCGGTGCTGCCCCCACCCCAAGGCCTCTTCCCTGCTCTCCTGGGCCCTTCCTGTCACTGGCTGTTTCTGCCTCTGGAGCGACCTCCGTCCCCCCCAGCCCGGGAGCCCCTGACCTGGCTCCGTCCAACAGGCCACACCCACCGGGCTCGTCATTAGCTGCACGTGGATGGCTGGGGGTATATATGAGGGTCAACCTGAGAAGCTTCCTTCAGGGAAGGCGTGATTTATCAGACAATGAGCATCCTCCATGAACATGACCTTTTCAGGCTACGGCTCCATAGGAGAGGCCACAGACCAGGTGCTGACATGCCAGGCACTGGTTTGCTCACACTTCTGGAGGCCGCAAGTCCACGATCATGGGGTCAGCAGGGTCTTGTCCTCGGAGTCCTCTCTCTTCCTGGCTCAGAGACGGTCACTTCGGACTGTGTTCTCAATGGTCTTTCCTCTGTGCCCCGGCACCTCTGGAGTCTCTGGGTGCCTCAGAACGTCCCCTTCTTACGAATACCCCAGTCACACGGGCCTAGGGCCCATGCTGCAGCCCGGATTTCATCCATTCCGCTCCTTAGTGGACCTGTCTTCAAATACACCACAGTCTCGAGTGCTGGGGCTCAGGGCTTCGACAGCCCAGCGTTGGGTGGGACACAGCTCAGCGTGTGGCAGTGACCGAGGGCCTGTGCGGTGGAGCCTGCCTGGGGAGTGCAGGGGCCCCTGCTCCCTGTGTCCGTCTCCCAGCTGGCTCCTGACCTGGGCCTCACAGCCCCCCATCCGGACCATACGCCCCCTCTGCACCCCCATCGCTCCCCCATCGCCCCAGCCCTCCCCTCCCTGTCCCTCTCTCAAAGCCCCGAGCTGGATCTGGGCGAGGACGAGCCTAGGGCTGGGGCGGAGAATGCGCAGAAAAGACACTCAGTGGGTCAGTTCACGTTTCAGTAAGACTTGGGATAAAAAGTAGCTTTGGGGGACACGGGGAGCCCGGAGATCCTCAGAGCCTTTCCAGAAAGCAGAAGAGAGAGGAGGAGGGCAGCCGGGAATCAGAGAGGCCAGGCAACGGCAGCTCGGGCCCTCAGGGGAGTGTGGAAGTGAGCACCTGGGGCGAGGACGACAGGGGCCAACTCCAGCTGAGGGAGTGTGCGCGGCTGTGGGCAGGGTCCCAACACGGTGGCCTGGGACACCCACCGCTCCTGTTCTGTGGCATGGGGACGAGAGGAAGCAGGGGTTCAGCCC